GGTGCCTTCCCCGTCAGTGGTGACGGTAATGCTGCAGGGATGGCCTTTACCCCACGATGCAGGTGAGGAGACCCAGGGCCCGGGAAGCCTCTGGACAAGGCCCCTGGGCTCCTGAGTGCTGAGGCTGAGGTTCTAGCTGCTGCCTCAGGCTCCRGGCTCTTGCTACGCCAGCTGCTCCCCCTGCAGGCTGTGACAAATAGAGATGCTTCTCTTCCCCCAGACGAGAGAGGTGACCCGGAAATGACAACGTAGGGTGGTCAACGTGAGGGCCAAGGACAGGGTTCCGTGGGACCCTCAGGAGGGTCCTGCAGACTAGCATGTGTCTGGGGAGATTGTGGAGGAGGGGAGCCAGGCTCCACRTCTTGCCCCTCTGTCTGAGATTTTTATATCACAAGGCAGTTCAGTGTCACAGGCAAACAGAGCAACACCCTCCTGCCCCCCTCCTCCTGTTGGTGCTCGTGCAAACACAGGGATCTGGGCTGGGGTGCGGCTCAGTGGTAGAGCACTTGCTGAGAGCATGCGTGAGGCCCTGGGTTTGATCCTCTGCACTGCAAACAGATGCGTGTGTGTGTGTGTGTCGTGCACGCGTATATGTGTGCATTATGGTGTGCTGGTAAATGTCTGACAACCTGCTGGTGATGGTGGGGACACAGGTGTCKATTTTCGTGGTGTGCATGCTCCCAGTGTGGTGAATTTCCAGCTACGCAACATGAACTTGCTGAACATGGAGTCAGGAAGGAATGTGCAGCAGAACTAGCAGACCGTATTCCCCAGGTACAGAGACGGTATTCGTGCCCTTCTGAGGAGCATATGTGTCAGTCAGCTTTCTGTGACTGTAACAAACCACCTGAGATCATCAACTTATCTGGTGAGGGAAACAGTCTGTTTCCAAATCAACTGATAGATGATAAACACCATCATCATTTGAAATGCTCACTGGAGTTAGAGCTTTAAAGGAAGGGAGAGGACACTGGCGAGCTAGCGCTGTAGGAAGGAAGGGCTTGTTCTGCCAGAGGAGTTTGGAGGTTTTGGAGGTTTGGGTCTGTGGTCATTGGTCTTGTGGTGAGGAAGCACCTCAGGACGTGGAGCCCGTGGTGGAGCAAGCTGCTGCCCTCTTGGTGGCCAGAGGCAAAGAGAGGAAGAGACCAGGGTCCCACATTCCCCCTCCGGGTGCACCCCAGGGAACTGAGAGGTCCCACAAGGTGCCGCCTCTTAAGAGTTCCACCAACAGTACCAAGCTGGGGACCAAGACCGGAGCACCCCAGAAAGAAGCACTAGTGATAGGGAAAAGAGSGAAATGTACAACACAACAGGCAAGTGCTGAGATCTGAATATCACCTTTAAAGACTTTGTAACTTATTGAACTGTAACTTTATATCACTCAGCCTTTAATAATGGCTGCGTGTCACAAGTGGCTCACAGAATYCCCAGTGTCCACCCTTACTGGTCCGTGCGACTGACCTCACAGGCCTCTCTTCTTTTCTTTTTGTTTTTTTTTTTTTTTTTGGTACCAGAGATTGAACTCAGGGGCACTGGACCACTGAGCCCCATCCCCAGTCCTATTTTGTACTTCATTTAGAGATGGGGTCCCACTGAGTTGCTTAGTGCCTTGTAAATTGCTGAGGCTGGCTTTGAAGTCATGATCCTCCTGCCTCAGCCTCCCGGGCCGATGGGTTGACAGGTGTGTGCCACTGCGCCTGGCTCTTTTCTTTCTTACTAAAATGTTAATAGTATATAATTTTTTTCTTTGACTTGCTTTTTATTTAAAAGGCTCTTCATTYATTCATTCCCCTCCATTCCAGCTGGGTCACCATGTGAGTGGGAGAACCATGAGCTTTGTCTCTTTGGCTTGGGTCTGGTGAAGGAGACGGTCCTTTACCAAATCAACAGATAGATAAACTTTACCATCCGTGAAAGTGCTGTCATTAGGGCTTTAAAAAAAGGAGCGAGATGCCATGCAACTAGAGCTGGGGTGGGGGGTGGTGTGCAGGGAAAACCTACATCAGGGTCAGATCAGGAAAGGCTTATTCTGTGGAGGTGACACAATTTGAGACCCAAGAGATAAAAAGGGACTTGGTATCTTTTTATCCAAGCTTTGGATGGCTTGGTGGGAGAAAGTTTATCCAAGGGTGTGTCCACTTTGGTGCCATTTCTGTAAAATCCCCAAACACGCAAAACAGTGCTATCCATTATTCTTAGAAACATCCTTGTGAACTAGAGATGGGAAGGCTCCCACCAGCTTCAGGACTGGTGGCCACCCTTGGAGCCGGGAGGGAAGAAGGGTGATTTGGAGGGAGGCAGAGAACGTCTTCAGCTGCGTCTCGGGATTGTCGTGGATCCCAAGGAGAGAAAGATCTGAGGTGATACAGTTGGTGTGACTCTGGTTGGCCCTCACCGATGGACACCGGTTGCATGATTCTTGACCATTTCTGAATGACGGAAATGTTTTGATGGATGTTTTTTAAGAGTATGGAAAAGAGGTTCTAGGTGTGGGAGTGACCCCTGTTAAAGTTCACCCCAGAAAAGTTGGCCGCAGTGAAGGGCAGAGGGATCCCCAGGTCATTCAGACGGCTGGGCAGGGATCCGGGCTTCGAAGGCTGTGACACATGTGAATAAAACCATGAGCTGGTTTACGATGACCACGAGTCCCTTGGCTCTGGGGAGAATCCGCAGGGGGCAGGGAACGGCTTCGGGCTTGGTTGGGGCCTGCGGTGAGCCCCGCTTCTCGAGGCCCTGGGGACAGCCTGGCTGTGGCTCCTGTGCCACACCCTCAGGTTGCAGCTCAGTCAGGCTGTGGGGAGAGGAAGAGGAAGGAGCAGGTCCTTAGGAAACCCAAACAGGCAGGATGAAAGAGAAAGATGGATTTGAACAAGAACCATGACAAAACCTGCGAATGGGAAATATCCATGGACTGAAAGGCCCCCATTAAAAAGAGAAGCCCGGGGAGGAGGGGGACCTAGGAGACCGGAGGAACCTGGGACTGGACACGGCCAAAGAGAGAATCAGTGGATGGGAAGAGAGTTCTCAGGGATTTTCCCTGAAAGAAAAAGAGGAAAAATAATACGAAAAGGAAGTTAAAAGGCACGGAGCACAGAACGAGCTGCTCCCATGTGTGTTTGGTAGAAATTCTACCAGAAGGGCCTGGGAAAATGACTGAGAAGTTGAGTTCTCAAAAGTTTAATGGCTGAGAATTTTCCGAAATCAAGAGATATCCAGTCTTTGTTTGAAAGTGCTCCTCAAGTTGAAGATTTTGTAAAATAACCCACAGAGCAAAATGGCGTAAAATCACAAATAAAGGGAGAGTCTTTACATTTACCATGGACAGATCATCCACAGAGGACCACAGCAGGGAACAGAAGGTTGCAGGTGACCACAGGGCAGTCTTCTGTTCATCTTCCTGGATGAGAAGATAAAGCCCAATCAGCCTAGAACTCCACACCCCGACTCTGATGCTCAGGATCCATGGTGAAGTTTCTGAAGACAAGGGGTCCCGCTCTGACCTCCAGGCTCCTGAGTCTTTGGAGGTTGGGGAGCAGGAGCCCCTCAGATTACAGACGCTCCGTCGTGCGACGGTGGCTTCCATCTCCCACAGAAGCTGGGGAGAGAGACGGGCCAGACCCAGCTGTTGTGTTGTAACACGAGGCTACGGGAAGTGCTTCATGGTATCCATCAAGACAGAGAACAGGGACGGCTCATCTGTCTCTTCCCAGAATCCACAGCACCTTGAAAGTGTGTGTGTGTGTGTATGTGTGTGTGTGTGTGTGTGGCCATGTGTGTGTGAACATGTATGTGTACTTCTGAGTGTGCATGTATGTGTGTACATGTGTGTGTACTTGTGAGTGCACGAGTGTGTACTTGTGAGTATGCATGTGTGTGTGTGTTTGTGTGTGTGTACTTGTGAGTGTGCATGTATGTGTTTGTACATGTGTGTGTACTTGTGAGTGCATGAGTGTGTACTTCTTTCTGTGCATGTATGTGT